ACACACACACACACACACACACACACACACACACAGACACACATATATATATATATATATATATATATATATATATATATATATATATATATATATATGTATGTATGTATGTATGTATGTATATATATATATATATATATATATATATATATATATATATATATATATATATATATATATATATGCATATATATATATATATATATATATATATATATATATATATATATATATATATATATATATTTATATATATGCATATATGTATTATATATGTGTGTCCAGACACATACACGCACACGAACGCATATATATATATATATATATATATATATATATATATATATATATATATATATATATATATATATATATATATATATATGTATATATATATATATATATATATATATATATATATATATATATATATATATGTATGTATATATATATACGTGTGTGTGTGTGTGTGTGTGTGTGTGTGTGTGTGTGTGTGTGTGTGTGTGTGTGTGTGTCTATGTGTGTGTGTGTGTGTGTGTGTGTGTGTGTGTGTGTGTGTGTGTGTCTATATGTGTGTGTGTGTGTGTGTGTGTATGTGTGTCTATGTGTGTGTGTGTGTGTGTGTGTGTGTGTGTGTGTGTGTGTGTCTATATGTGTGTCTATGTGTGTGTGTGTGTGTGTGTGTGTGTGTGTGTGTGTGTGTGTGTGTGTCTATATGTGTGTCTATGTGTGTGCGTGTGTGTGTGTGTGTGTGTGTATGTCTATGTGTGTGTCTGTGTCTGTGTGTGTGTGTGTGTGTGTGTCTATGTTTGTGTCTCCGTGTGTGTGTGTGTGTGTGTGTGTGTGTGTGTGTGTGTCTGTGTGTGTGTGACGTTGTGAGATTTTGTTATAATTCATTACACATTTTTCTTACTAGCGTCGAGTACAATGAGTTGATCGCGTCTCCCTCTTTTAAATTCTATGCGCTGATTGGTTTAAGTCAAGAATCCCAGACACAGTGCTCTTTCGATGCCGTAAGCTATCATTTCAGTCGCTAGTTATCGCCCGTACATTTTGCAGAGCGGTTCAGGGATTAAGGTTTTTATTATAGAAATAAGTTAGTGAAATCTAGCACCGGTGTCCTAGTTTGCAAGAAGGCATGTGATTGCTGTTGCTCACGTGATTGTGGCGAATACTAGGTTTCCCGTATTATTGTGGTAAACCAATTTTCCAACTAGTCTAATGCATTAAGCCAGTCACTTGATGCTAAATGGTTTGTGATGTTCTGTGTAAAAGACAAACGTAATGTAAATCTGATGTTTCCATATTGTGGCATACTCGTTTACAAGGGTATTTTTTAAAAGCTTATGATTATTTTATCATATTAATATTGAAGGACTATGGTGGTTTTGTATCCCCTTTCACTTACATGGTCGTCTCACTGATTATATTTAATAGAAGTACAGACTGAAGTACTTCTTTATCTATATATCAAGAAATTACTGTCCCAAAGCGGAGAAATACCAGGAAAATATGGTTACAGATAAATGTATTTGAAATTCTAGTGTTGGCGACAGTTATTAACAGCCTATCGCCCATGACCCTAGAAGCAGCATCTACGTCGTCCACACGTCCAGCGTACGCATAAAACTCCAAAAATTTCAAGCGTTAACCTCAGCAGAGACTCCAATGCTTACCAACCTGTACCGAGGTGCTTCAACCATATCCTCTGTAATTGAGATCTCTTTATGCTTCAATAATGCATATGACCTACGTCACGTTATCTGTGTCCCAAATCCCCCAATGACAACGACAATGGAACGGAACTGTCATTGAAAGCCGTCATAATTACACCATGTCTAGGTGAAGGGGATTCCACGGCATTGCCAGGGTAGGCGTTTGATTACGTAAGGCTTCCATATTCAGTCCACCCACGATATACCTTGCCATCCCCTGTTGCATGCACTTTTTATTTTAGATAGACAAAGGAGCAAGGTATTTTCATTCATAGGACATTCACTGAAGTCTCACTGTTTACTCTTATGCTGACATTATTAACACGTTTGTACGTTTGTTTTGAATCACTCGCGCGCGCACACACATAACATCAGGGATTGTGTGTATTTGTATATTTTGGTCAAACCGTAACGTTTCGCGTATAATCACGTGTTCAAAGCTATTATCACTGTCAAGGAAGGCGATCCTTCCCGTCTTGGCCGAGATTAATCCGATCCGGTGTTGTTCGTGTGTGTGTGTGTGTGTGTGTGTGTGTGTGTGTGTGTGTGTGTGTGTGTGTGTGTGTGTGTGTGTGTGTGTGTGTGTGTGTGTGTGTGTGTTTTAGAAATGAACTATTACTTGACGAAGTGTCAATAATCCATGGCCATGAATCGAAGTACTTGTCTCTATCTGATTGTTTATGTGTTTATTCATTTATTTACTTCTTATTATTTATTTATTTGTTTATTTATTGACAAGTTAAGAAATTCCCTTTATCCCTGACTTTATATTCTCTGCAGCAAAATGTTCGCCGTCCTTGTAACTATCGCGGTTCTGGCGCCGATGGCCCTGGCAGGTCGTGACGCCGCGCCCGTGGTCAAGGTGGCGGAAGGGCGTGTGTCGGGCGTGACGGAGACCTCCACGAAGGGCAGGGACTTCCACTCCTACTACGGCGTCCCCTTCGCCAAGCCTCCTGTGGGAAGACTAAGGCTTAAGGTTGGTGGAGAGAGAGAGAGAGAGAGAGATTTATTCTACCACATAAGAAGAAGCTAAAAACATAAGCTTTTGCATTTGCGGTTTTCTATAATTGCTTTGAGTTTATTAATCTTCGGGCAACGATTTCTTTCGTCCCGTTACTCAGATACACTCAAGGATAGGCAAAGCTGTCTAAAAGTGGCAGGGTAATAAAATCTTTCTAATGGAGATGAATCTTTCCCTTTCTTTCGTCTGATTGACTTACTAAACTAGTTTATTTACAGGTTTTCAGTACGTACCTAGTATATAAAAAAAATATGACCAGGATAATCTCTACTTCCTCCTCCTCTTTCTCCTCCTTTCACTGCTCTTCCTTCTCCTTCTCCCTTTTTCTTCTCCTCTTCCTCCTTTTTTTCTTGTTTTCTGATTTGTTCGTCATTCTCCTCATTATAGGGCATAATATTGTCTTGTCAGATACTGAAAAATCAAATGTTTATTTGATATCAATCTCTAGTTTAGGCTTCGTAGATTTTTGTTCATCAAGACTATCTATTTAGTTTCTCTGTCGTGAACTGGATTTAGAGAGACAGGTAGTCAGGTAGTCAGTCAGTCAGTCAGTCAGTCAGTCAGTCAGTCACACACACACACACACACACACACACACACACACACACACACACACACACACACACACACACACACACACACACACACACACACACACACACACACACACTCACTCACACTCACACTCACACTCACACACACACACACACACACACACACACACACACACACACACACACACACACACACACACACACACACACATAAGAATAATTCGAAGAAACAAGAAGGACTGAGTTAATAAGACGCTCCGAATCCTCACTTCCAGGACCCGGTGAAGGCAGAGGGGTGGGGGGGCGTGAGGGACGGATCCAGGGCGCCCTCGCCTTGCCTCCTCGTGCCCTTGGCTTATGCTGCCATGGGCGTGACTTTGGCTCCGGAAGACCTGCATGGGAGCGAGGACTGCTTGTACCTCAACGTTTTCACGCCGAAGGTAAGGCAGAATCCAGAACTTGGGTTGGTTTTGATGTTTGTGTCCAGTGTTTTAGATACTGTTTTTTTTTTGTCTTTCTTGTATTTTTTTTAGTTCATTTCATTCTTTCCCTTTTTTTCTTTTCTTCCTCTTATATATATTCTTGTGGTTATTTCTACATCTTTAGTTCATTTTATTCTTTCTTGTATCTTCTCCTTTCTTCATGCTATTTATCGTTGTGATTGTTGTTACATTGTGATTTTTATTCAATTTCAGTCTTTCCTTATTTCTTCTTCATGCTATTTATATATGTCACCATTCTTACGTTGTGATTTTTAATTAATTTCATTTTTTTTCATTTTTGGTTTGTTTTGTCTTCCTGTTACTTATCTTTGCGATTAGCAGCACATATTTTCAATTCATTATTTTATTTCATTTTATTTTTATTTTTTATTTTTTTTATTATTATTATTATTATTTTTTTTTTTGCCAGATGGAAACCTCAGAGAACCTCCCTGTGATGGTGTGGATCCACGGGGGAGCTTACCTGGCGGGGGGCGCTCGCGAGTACTTGCCTCACGTCCTCCTGAACCACGACATTGTGCTCGTCGTGTTGCAATATCGAGTCGGTATCATGGGTAAGTGGTGACGAGGTTACCGTACTTGTTGCTCTGTGTTATGAATGGCAGATCCTTTCTTTTCTTTTCTCTCTCTCTCTTTCTCATTTTCTTTCTCTTTCTCTCTCTCTCTTTCTCTCTCTCTCTCTCTCTCTCTCTCTCTCTCTCTCTCTCTCTCTCTCTCTCTCTCTCTCTCTCTCTCTCTCTCTCTCTCTCATATGTATATATATTGCCAGATTATTGGTACCCTCTTCATGTTGTTACCAATCTGTGAGGGTTTTTTGTGTTCCCCACTTTGGAGGTGTACGGGAAAGCACGTCGTTGGTTGCACTCTTTATTGAAGGAGAAGATTGATTGTAGCATAGCAGAGTCTGAAGAAAGTAAGTGCAGAGCAGAGGTTGACTCAGCAAGTAGGGGGGCTCTGGAGGGTGGCCCCCACCAGCGTCCGAGCGGGACCGTGACTCGAGGCAGAGTGATTCCATGAGTCAAGGTAATGAGCGAAGATGGCGTTGCTAGGTCAGCACGGCGGCGATGGCTCGGGCACGCCGCCCTCATCCACAGCGTTTAGTGGGTGTGACCTCGAGAGCATCTGACTCTCAGACCGCATGCACCCAGCCGTCATCCTCGACGGAGCAGTAACTCGGACTTGCTATGCTCAGGCAGGGGACAAGGCAGGGAATAATATCACAAAGACTCGGAATGCCGACAACCACCCGTCTGATTACCCGACGGGACCTACACGGTTGTGGAAGCTGGCGGGCCTCGGACTGCGGCGTCAGGTGCCTCAAGACTGCGTAGCTGTACTGAGGTTTCTGAAACATGTACTCTGAAGGCAGAGGCAGACGGATAGGCAGGAGGGTGAGCAGGGGGTGGTGGTTGTATGACAACAAGGGTGTGTCAGATATAATCAAATATCATATTGCAGGGAAATGATATGTTAAAGTTTCATAATTTGCAGTCCTCATATACGTTCTGGGACAACTCAGTACATCATATATGCTTGGTCAGGACAATATAGGCACGACAAAACTTCAAGAATACAAGATAGGCACAAGTCGATTAGCTACTCCACATGCATGTAATTCTTGTGAGGGAAGGGAAGATGTGCATATGTGGCTGCATGAGTGAGGTGAGTGGTGAATAGATGAGTTGAGTGAACTCAGCTATGAAATGAGTAAGTCAGACTATAACACACGTGTAAAGAGTATGATACTGTTAGCTAGTTATTAAAGTCACTAGTAAATAGATTAACTGAGAGTGAGGGTAAATAAGAAACACAATTGGTCATCCGCAGCGGTTAGAGGGTGATCTCGGAGGCATCTGACCATTCTCAGATATATATACATACATATATATATATATATATATATATATATATATATATATATATATATATATATATATATATATATTCTTGATTCCAACACTCGTTCATTTGACAGTATGTTTTATTTCCCGTACTTTCAACTTTCTTTGCAGGATTCCTGTCCACAGAGGATGAGGTGATTCCAGGGAACTTTGGGCTGAAGGACCAGACCCTCGCCCTCCGCTGGGTGCAGGACAACATCCACAACTTCGGAGGAGACGCCAATAGGGTCACCATCTTCGGCGAGAGTGCTGGGGGCGCCTCTGTCCATTATCATATATTGTCACCCAAATCTAAAGGTGTGGTGAAAGAAAAGATAAAATCAGATACATACAGAAGTTCTTCATCTTTAAAAAATAACTGAAAACTTTGCAAAATGATAGATTCCAGCATTCCACAGCATTTGGCTGAGTGAGACTGCATTCATTAATCTACTAAGCTACTGCACATATAGTGTTTGTCTTCAAGTTCACAAATGTCATTTTATCCAACACTAGGTCTCTTCTCTCGTGCCATCATGCAGTCAGGGTCGGCCTTAGCGCCATGGGCACACCACGAGCAACACAGACATATGGCAGAGGAAGTTAGCAAAGCTGTTGGCTGCTCCAAAGCCTTCGGTCGCAAGGATATTCTTGACTGTCTCCAGAAGGTAGATGGTCGCAGGCTGGCCGCAAGGTTCCAAGATTTCATGGTGAGTTTGGAACATTTTATAGGGAAATTTACCTGGCATTACATTGTAATTAGTAATTTACTTATTAAAGGCAATGACCTGTTTATAAAGTTTAAGATATTTTCATTTTTTAACCCCTTTTTCAGGAATGGTTCATCTTGCCAACGGTTGCTTTGCCTCTTGTTGATGGGGACTTTATACCGGATCACCCCGCGCGTTTGATGCGTGACGGAGACTTCAACCAAGTGGAGCTCATGGCTGGAATCACAAAAGACGAAGGAGCTCTAGTAACAAATCGTTAGTAATCTGCTTGCAATACCCACTTTCCTAGAAATTTAAAGATAAAAATGAATCCAGAAGCCTAAGGGAAAGGCATTGTTTGATTCATTACTTGAGACTAGGAAATATATCAAGATGTATACGTATACTTGTGCATTTCAAAAGCTCTTCCAGAATTTCCTTGGGGATCAGATGTTGATGCTGCACCGTATGTTCTCAAACTTTAAGAGTTAATGTCCAAGGTAAAAAAAAATAACTAATACAAGTTTTGGAAGTGTTTTCTGAGAGGAGGAAGACGCCTAGAAACTAGATTACCAACGGGTAGTTTTTACAAGGAAGAGGAGAACAAACTGCGTAAAGATTATTTATTTCACTTAAGCTAATTACCGGCCTCTTCATACACAGCAATGCTAGCCCGAAAGGACCTCTTCCCTGCCTTACAAAACAACTTTTCCGTCTTCGGCCCAGTTAGCCTCATGGTCGGGCCTGAAGTCGAAGATGCTGTTGCCTTCAGCACCAAGGTCTACCAACACTACCTTGGCAACTCAACTATCGATCATGACCACATAAAAGAGCTCACCAAGGTAAACTATCATTTGTTTCTTATTACGATGTCTGTTTTGTTTTGTTTTTTTTCATTTAAATCGATGCTTAGTATGTTCCAGGCTACTTGTCTTGTATTTGAAAGAGCAAAAGCAATATCAGAAGTGTTTCTCAAGTATGTGTTTTGATTCAGTACTTGAACATGACATAAGTAAGCAAACCTTTTCTCATATTTCTATCTTCATTATATTATTTTACCTTTAGTAATTATATATATAAACTATTTTCCTTGCTCTTATCCTAGGCTTTAGACACACAACATATTGTTCCTACAAACATTTTTATTCCCAGATGAACACAGACTACAGTTTTGCCGTACCACATGACCTGGCAACCCTCTACCACGCTCGGGTTCCAGGTCTTGCTACTTACCGCTACGAGCTCAAGCACCGATCCCAGCTGTCCATGGGAGATTTCTTCAACACAGACATAGGGCGTCACTGTGAGTTGTGTCTGAATAGCATCATTTCCGAATTGTGTGATTTTCCTATTGCAGGGAGAAATCAGAGTTCCAGTGATGCCCCATTGTTATTATTTTTATCCTTGTCTTCAATGAGCAACATGAATTTTAAATGAAAGCTAGCGAATGAGGTACACACAAAGACTGGCTATTTTCTGACTAGTACACTGACATTGTTAAGTCCACATTATCATCAGATTTCAGAACAACCGACGCTGTACCATTTGCATTTTATTATCAAGTGCCTTTCAGTTGACAAACCTCCTCAACATTTTGGAGGCCACGGTAAGGATGGGAATATATTAAATCATCAGCATGACTTCAACATTGATTTCCAAAATTCTGCAAAATATGTTCCAGAAAGTAGAACTTTTAAACCAACAAGTGGAAAGGTTGACCTTCAAGTGTTCATATAAGCAATGTAAGTTCTATAAGCAATGGGAGATTAAAGTAAAAAAAAAAAAAAAAAAAAAAAAAATTGGAATTGGAATGGCTGTTTAAAAAGCACATTTAAAGTAGTTATTTATTATCTTTTTTGGCCTCCATCATAATAATAATAATTTTGCAAGGGATACAGCTTGTATTTTATTTTATGTTAAATTAGTTAATTCTGAGATGGGTCTTCATTATTTCCCATATGAATAATATAGAAAATATTGGTATTAATATGGAAACTATAGGTATTAAAATGGAGAGATAAGTAAATGAATAGGTAGATGGTGAACAAGTAGATTGATCGATTAACTATTGATTGATAGATAGATAAATCTAGTAATGTATACAGCAGTTGTTGATTTTAAAGAGATAAAAATGTGTCCATGTGAATGTTGAAGAGGACGTTACCATCATGGGAAAATTAGTTCTTGCATCCCAGATAGTAATATGATGTACATGCATGCTAATTCTGATATTTATAATGTTAATGACCATCCTCCTCATCACAGCACAGAGGAAGCTTTAATGGGATGGAGAATCTCTAGTCCTGTTGGCATAGGAATACCATGACACTTCCCAGGATTTTCTTTGAATGATTTCCTGTGTGTTCAAGATGCTGTTAATCACTTCACATTACGAATTCACCTTGCAGCAGAAGCATCAATTCCCAGAAGTAGCGGGCAGTACCGTCGATCTCCGGTACCATGGTAGACTGATGAATGCCAACAAGCTGTCAGAGCAAGATAAGCTGCATTAAGGCAGTTGAAACGGTGCCCCAGCGATGTGGCCTTGATCCATTACAAGAGGACTCGAGCGCTAAAGGTGGCTACACGGATGTTGTGCCTCCTTGATTAACTCTGGGACCCCCTTAGCATGAGTATGGGACAAGTTGCATAAGATCACTGGAAAAAACACATTTATGTCACCACCTGCTCTGAGAGATGGCATAATCCTCACGGACAAAAAAAGATGTTGCAAATGACCTAACTAAATCTACGACAGAGATCTTCGGAGCATCTTACGCTGCCGGATTCTCCACTCTTTACTGAACAGCAACGACATCCAATGTCATTCTTCAGTAGGACTGAAACAGAACTTCCATAGATTTGCCCATTTTGCACAAGGATATAGACTGCCCCGAGAAGTGAGGGTATTCCGTATCAAATGATATCTCCCTTACAGGAGATCTTCCAGAAGTTCTCGTTGAACCTATTCTTATAGGATCTTTAGAGTGGGCACATTGCCATCCATGTGGAAAGAAGCTATAATCATTCATATCCCTAAACCTGACAAGGATACTTCCATGCCAGGGAATTACAGGCCAGTTTCTCTCACCAGCTGCATCTGCAAGCTGGTGAGAGCTGATGACTTCAGGTTAACATGGCTGCTAGAAAAGTAAAACATGCTGAACCCATATCAATATGGGTTTAGAAAATTGAGATCGACCACAGATGCACTTGTGAGGATGGAGACTCCTTTGACCTCGAAGAGGCTTATGATACTACTTAGAAGCATGACATCCTCATGAAGCCGAATGACATTGGTTTAAGATGAGTGTTACCTACCTTCATACAAAGCTACCTTGCTGACTGGAAGTTTAGAGTTTGGGTGGGAAACAGTTTATATATCCTGGAGGATTAGCTGGAAGGGGTTTCAGAAGGGAGTGCCTTAATTGTGACCCTGTTTGCCATTGCTATAAATGACATTGTAAAGGTCGTTCCAAGTCTCGTGTAGTTTGCATGTGGCTGACTTCACATGGTACTGCTATGGAGGAAGCTTACAGGATGTGCAAGGACACATGCAGACTTATATAAATCAGGTTGTGCAGTGTGCAATCTACCAAGCAAGACCATGGTTATGC